ATTATATATTAACATTATATATTTTTTTTAAATTTTTAATTATAATATATTTTTATTTTCATAAACTTCAAAATCTCAATTTAAAAAAATCTCTAAAAATCTTAAAAAAAAAATGATTAAACTCAAATTTTAACTTAAAACATAGGTGGGCATTATGGAAGATGATTTTACATGTCTTGGATTACTATGTGCTATTCTATTCTTCCCAGTGGGCATAATTTGTTGCTTGTTGTTAAAGACACGACGTTGTTCTAATTGTGGTGCATATTTTGGTTAATGTGTTACTATTTTACAGTAACCATTTCTGAAATTAAATATATTATTAATCTAATTTTAATATAATTATGTAGCTAATATAATTATATGATATTAAAAGATAAGAACATAAGCAATTAATTTTTTACTAATATTATATAATTATAATTATCTATATTGCATTATTTGAGGAAAAATAATGCTTCAATGATCAGGAATATATACAATAATTAGTTAAATAGAAGTTCATGAAATATTGACATATATATAATTAAGAGATTCTCTATGCATTTAAGACTTTATTGATTTAAGTGACATTTGTAGTGTTTTGTAAATTATACATAAAAAGTTCCAATTAATAATGTTATATATTATTATAGTATATTTTATAATGATGAATGATGAAATAGTTTATGTTAATATATAAATATGTTATAGTTTGTAAGAATTCTTATTAAGTGAGAAAAGGAACAATATAAACTAGATGGATTGAACTTTATATTTATAGTATATTTGTAATGATACAAATATGTCTAAAACAGATTTCATTGAAATTTTTCTGTACTTACATAAAACTTACATTTAAAGCATTTTGAATTATTTTTTAAAATAATTTATCAAAACTTATATATAACATATTTTATAAAAAATAAATTCAATGAAATTTGTGCTTTTTATTTTTATTACTTATTTATTATTTATGTTATTATCTTATAATGACATTTCTTGATATATACACTAATTGAATTTTTAAAATACATTTAATATTTGTTAAATGCTAAAATATTTGAATCTCAAAGGAAATGTCAATAGATTTTTTTTTCTATATATAATTAATTTTGTAATGTGATTGTTATAGAACTTATTTAATCACTTATATTATCACATTAATCATTCAATTATATTTTTATAAAATGGAACTATATTTAAAAATGTATTCAAATTATTTTAATATTTAAAAGAAATATTATTTATTTATCATTGAAGAAATTTTTAAGGAAAAAAAAAAATAAAAATATTTAGAAAGTTTTCTTAATATATACTTTTTTGTGACATTAGAAATCCCAAAACACTGAGTACTGAAAATACCAGATATTTTTCAAATTTTGCAAGCTATTAATAATTTTGCAAACAAAAATCTACAAATATATATATATATATAAAGAATAAATTTGTTATTAAAATTGTTATCAATTTCTAGAAAATTTTTAGAATTACTAAAAATTTTTTCAATGAAAAATTAAGAAAAAATAAAAAGATAAAAAACAATAAAACTATAAAAAAAATCACAGAAAATGAAAAAAATTTTTTAAATTTTAAATTCATGTGAATATTATGTAACTTAAATGGAATATATTTATATAAAAAAATATTAATATATTAATATTTGTTAAATAATACAATTATTTAATAAATTCCCTTCTATGAAATTTCTTTTTTCATTGAATATTCAAATTTCAAATTCAATATTCAATATTCAAATTCAAATTTCAGATAATATTATTCATGATTTATAAAGAATTAATTTATGATTGAAATACATTTATTATTGATTAGCACTAGTAATTCAAAAAAATCATTAATGTACTTGACCATGCACGCAATATGTGAATGATACATTCATATTTTCACAATCTTCAATATTCATTTATGCATATATGGGTGGAGTATTTTTTTCCACAAGTCTATCATTATCAATCATATTATGGTAGATATTTATAATACTTAAGAAAAATTAAATAAATTAAAAATTAAATAATTAAATTAAAA